TTGGCGACTCTGGTGGTCATTCGGAAAAGGTGCCCCGGAAGAATATGCATGGTGCATAATTAAGAGAATACAGAGGGCAAGAAATCAAAATTGTCTGTAATCGCTGAATTTTCAGAGTCGTTGTTCTGAAGATGAAGAGAAAAGCTGACTAAGCATTTGGCGCCGAGTCTGATCCCACGTCTGCGCTTTTGCCTCCACGCTATTGACCACGACCACGGCCGCCAGCATGATGTCCGATACCGACTCTGGCGATGCAGGCCCTTTTCAAAAAGCGAAGGACCAATATTACAACGCCCAACGGCAATACCAGCAAATTCTGGATCGCTGGACACCATTTACACTCAACCGTTGGCTAGTAACGCTGGGGCTGTTAGTTGTGTTTATTCTGCGTATTGTTCTCGCTCAAGGGGTGCGTGAACTACTTTGGTCTTGTTTCTTGTGTCTGACCAAACTTCATGGGCAGTGGTATATTGGTACGCGCCTGGCAATGGATTCCGGACCTTAGCGCTAACCTCTGCTTCTTCCTTCTTAGTGTGCTGTACGTCCTTTGCCAGAACCCTACACATTTATCCTGACTGCGCGATAAGATGGTCATGCAATTTACCTGCTGAACCTCCTCCTTGCATTCTTGCAACCGAGATTTGATCCTTCGCTCCAAGAAGACCTTCTCGCAGACGAAATAGAGGGAGGAGAAGCTGGTGGCGAGGAAAGCCCACTCCCGAGCCAACGCGACGACGAGTTCCGACCATTCGTACGCAGACTTCCAGAGTGGCAGTTCTGGTGAACCCCGCATCTTCTCATCCTGTCCATCCGTTCGCTCACGTGTCACTAACACAGGCTCTCTGCGACGCGTGCTACTATCATTGCCATTTTCTTGACAACTTCGGAGGTCTTTGACGTGCCTGTGTTTTGGCCCATTCTTGTTGTCTATTTCCTGGTGTTGTTTGCCCTCACTATGCGTCGCCAAATTCAGTGCGTACTTATTTCCGTATCTGGGTTCATACCAGTCCTTACCATGTTCAGACATATGGTCAAGTATAAATATGTTCCCTTTGATTTCGGTAGGAAAGCACGTTACGGGGCCGGTGGTCGGTAGAGTAGAGGTATTGGAGCTTCCCGGTCACACATTCCCCTTTGTCGCCGTAATTCGAGATTCCTTATGGGCGAACAGCGGACACACACACAAGCTCCTGGAACCGTCTGAATTCTCAGATTGTCACGTCCGCTGCTAGATCTACAGCGCACCCTAAGTACAAGATACACAATCGATGTGATGCCAACTTGGTCCACACATTACTAACTCTTTTGAGTTGGCGATGGCCTCCGGGAGCATCGAGTCCCGGAACGTGCCATTTGAAATGCATTGGACAAATCGCCTTAGTCCCAGAGGGCGGCGAGTGCATGTTTGCTAAACTCCCGTTGGCCGATAAATAGCACCACGCCTGTGCCCTAGAACAGATTGTGTGAAACGATACGCAACAAGACAGCGTTGCTCACGGTACCTGCATGGGATGCATGTGGAATGCGCTGCTCTAAGTATTCAGAACAGGCGAGGCCATTGCAGTCATCTGGACGTTGGGTTCCGGCGAGTGTTGCTTGGACGCCTCTAGTGGATTGTCTTGTTCGACTGGATTGTCTTGTTCGACTGGATTGTCTTGTTCGACTACAGCGGGCCGTTTTTTGTCGATAATAACTCTAAGACTCTTGATGGCACTCTCGCGAGCAGTGACCAAGCGCTTCAACTTGGGAAGGTCATTGTACGTCCATGCCTCAGGATATGCGGGAGGTTTGAATGTGGGTTCCTTGCCGCCTTCAGTCTTAATGATAGCCTTGTATTCGGAGCGCGTGTCCTCGAGTTCCGCATCGAATGCAGTTAAAAGGGATGTGTATTCATTGAGCTCATCCTTTTCGCGGAATGCGGCACAGGCTTCAATAGCACAGGTTTCGATATGAGAGAAACGAATCGGACCAAGCAGATTGCCTCCGAACCTAATGAACTGTAAGTAAGCTATGCCACAAGGTTATTAACATGGATCACGCACCAACGAGATACAATGACGGTCGCGTCGATGACCGCCTCTTCCTTCATAACCTTCAACACGCGTTGTCCTGCCCATTGCTCGCCATCGTCTTCGGACTTGCTCACCACCTCAAAGTCATCTGGGCCACTCAGTCCAGAATGGGATGATTTGGCCACCATACACCGCCAGGCATATATTTCGTGGGATGCAGGTCGCTTGCTGTGTAGGACGTTCTTCACATGTTGGACGGCCGCGCGCGCTTCTTCCGGAGTTGCGGTTTTGAATATGTTCGCAACAAACGTCGAGCCACGGTCTCTTATTTCCTGAGATGTTGCTACAGCCTTTGGCAGGGCTTTCGAACGCGAGATGAAGCTATCCAGGGTTGACGTCATGATCGTGGTAGAAAGGCAAGCCAGGCGATCTCCATCATTTCTGCCCATCCTACTAGGCCGCAGTGGCACTCATGTTGCGACCCGATACTACCATACATAAACCGTAGAAACTGTGCCAGTAGGGAAGGAACATGGTGGACATTCTGATTTGCGCACTCAGTAACGAGCCAAACAATGTAAGCACTATGTTAATCATGAAGAATATCCTACGCTGCAAGTTATAACTGTTATATGTACGCTATACGCATGTCGAGTAATTAGCAAGTCCGTTGTATATACTATATTAGGGTGTAAAAGTACTAAAATACTCATGTCAATGATCACTCCTACTCGTTTGGGTTTTGAGTCGTGCATTACACTTTGCGCGGGAGCAGCTTGACCTTCCGGGTTTCCTTCACAGCCTGACGCTCTGCGCCAAAGTACCGTGGAGTTATGTACGACCATTCCTCGTTCGTGGTGACCCATGCGCCAAGGAGCTCGCAGTAGCGCTCGACGACCTTGCGGAGCGACGCATCAGGTATGGGTATCTGAGGCACAGATGCATAGACCGCCAGGAAGTCCTGGACAACGATGTCGTAACGGCGGACAACCTCGTCGATAGCGGTCTGAACGTCGCAGTTGTCTTGAGCCATGATGACCGATACAATGTTGTGGTTCTTGTCGCCGTGGGCTTGTTCAACGTTGAATGAGTGAATATCCTGTGGTTCTCAGTCAGTCGTGTGCTAACACAACGCAGAGAAATTGCAACACGAACGTTGGCGAGAATGCTCAGGTCAATCGATCCTTGAGTGAGGGCTTGAACCACGGGATGCTCCATGATTTCGTTGGGAATGTCGTCGGACAGTATGAGGAAACTATAGGAGGGAAGGCAACCGACGGTATCCCGGCGCACAGCGATGTACTCGTCAATGGACCGGATGACGTCCTTGTCGCGGTCTGCGGCTTGGATCACAACGCCATCGGTGTACTTCTCGAAGGCCTTCACAAAGCGGTCCGCAGATGAGTGGGCCACATTGCCATCGCGGAGACAGCGCTGCCAAAAGCTGTGGATCACGTCGTTGTCAGTTCAAGGCAATAGGGATGGAGAAGACTTTACGCACTCCCTCGTCATAGCACCCAGGACATGTTCGTCCGCCGGTGAGTCACCGAAAGGATCTCTGCTGAAATTCAGCCCCAATCCACACAAATCCTTGCGTTGACCTACTTCAGTGCCTTCATGATAGAGTCAGACTGAAATCTTGCCATTCCAGCGTCGGCCACATCGCTCAGCTCGTCGTAAACGAAGTACAAGTTGAGCAAGTCCACAGCAGCGCGATACTGCGCGGGATTGAGGTGAGGATACGCGAGGGCGCTGAATGCACCGAAGTCCCATGAGTTGAAAGTGGCTTGGCGTGTGCGGTCAAAAACATTGTAGCTCTCGACCCAGGCGAGGCTGTCGGCATTGAGGCGTGTCGCATGAGGGTTCACTTGCGTCCGGAACGGCCAGTTTGCGAGTAGGTCGGGGATAGTGTATTCGAGAGACATTAGAGTAGTAGATGAGATACGTAGGGAAAGGAGGAGGGGGAGAGAGAGGAGGAGTGATACGGCTTCAGGTCGACATATGAGCTATTTATTGGTTTGACCGGGCGAATCTTAATCGCTTCGGAGTCAAAGGCGGCGGTTTTAGTTACAACCTGTACGTAGAAACGAGGCGTTCGTAAACGCAGCGATCGTCAAGTTCATGAAGCAACATTACCTTTCTTGGCCTTATTTTTTCATGACTCGGGCCGGCGGAGGCGGCTTCAAGCTGCTGAACATTGCTTGAACACAAAACGAGCAGAAGGATTCGAGTAAAGAAAGCACCCAGAATATTTTACTATCGACTCTGCGCACGGGGAGATGTTACGGACTACGGTTACCATGTACATATATCGCATAATGCACGTGCACACAATGGCAGATCAATCAGTGTATATAGGTGTACAAGAACAATAAAGCTGCCCGGAGTAATAGCGTATCAGCAGCATCGTCTCTTCAACTATGATGGGCTCGGAAGTGGGGTATTTTCATGGACGGACGCGCAGCCTTGGCGCAGCCCGTAGAGCAATGAACCCCGAGGCCGTAGTGCACATACCAGGGCGCAACAGATCCGCACAGCAGATCCGCATTGGCAAAGCTTTATGTTCATTATTCCCTAATTGCGTTGCAGCCCTATTGTGCGCGCATCCGGCGCGCATCATCCGTGCGGGTCCGTGAGCGACTGCAACGTACAAAAAGACCTGATACAGGGGAGCGCATGAATTGGCACATATGTGTACACTGGTTTCAGGTTCACGTCGCGTTTGCTGTACACATGTCCCGACGCCCGCCCTCCGAACATAGTAATGTCTCCCGGACCATGCAGTCTATCAGCGCTTCAGCGGCCAGCCGGGAACTCTTCCGTGTGACAGACGACAGGATGTCGGACGCTGCGAATCACAAAACTATTGCAGACGAAAGTGCCTCGAAGGCCGCCTGTGAGCGTGACATGGCAAAGCTACTACCCCGCCCGCCCTTGGACAGCCGTGGACCCACCGATTGTGAACGGACACGTGGCCTCGAAGTGCGGGCCTGCCTAGCTCAATCGGATAGAGCGTCAGACTTTTAAGGCGGTGAAATCCACTTAGAAATACTATCTGAAGGCTGCGGGTTCGACCCCCGTGGTGGGCTACTACGTTTTGGCGGCGTCGCCAATTTTCCTCCAGCACCGAAAATGTAATATTGCAATTGTGCCGAGGCCGGAGCAAGTACAGAGAATTACAGTAGTTCGATTCTGGGTACGCGCTGAGTAAAAACAACATGCGACTGAATGGGCTTTCGAACTGGTAGTATCCATTTCTGGGGCTGGAATTCTCTATGCTACTGATGGCATTCTCGTGCTCTTGTTCAGGTGGTCCCTGAGGCTTGAAGCCTGCATGCACGTCGAGCTCTTTATTGTTTTATCAGTGACCGCGCAAGTCTTGACAGTAGCTAGCGTTGTACTAAGTGTGATCTCGCCTGCTTCAGTGGTAGCCTGGCTTCAGCCGGGCTTCAGGGTGCCGTCGTGCTAGTACAGATATTTCCAAGGCCGGAGCAGGAATATAATTGTTCAGCTCCTGGCTCCTGGAACAGAGACTTCAGCGCCAGTTTGTGCAGAGCCTGGGCCACCGTTCTCTTTTACATTCTCAACACGAATGACGGTATCAAAAGCAATCAAGTCGCCTGAGTTGTGTATTCGCGACGGATTGCGATGCACAAGTTCGGAGGGACAGACTCTATGTAGAACATTGCCCTAGAGAAGTAGACAAATGGTAGAAGGGGAAAACGCGGAGGAAGAGAAAAGACGGTGGCGGTCTTTGTTTTTTTTGGGACGGTCCTTTGTGCAATTGTTGTGGCTGAAGGTCATCAATAAACGCCACTGTATATAAAGTGCAGTGTCGCGCTCAGCTTGCAGATGACCGTGGGGTGGTATCAGAGCTGACCAAGCAAACTCGATCATAAACAGGCTTGTTTCCGTTCCGTCATCACATCCTCAACCATGCCTTTCGGTCTTTTACTGAACACGGACCGCGCCAAGGCGCTGGAGGTACGAGCTTGTTCTCTTTTGGCGCGCGTCTCCGCTCTGACACTCAGTCACGTAGAACGCAATCGCAGCGGAGCTGTACAAGCAAGGCTACAATCCGGATAATGGTGCGTCGTCCCGTTGGCTTACGACAAGCTGCTAGTATTAACGTCACGCAAGATTCAACTATGGCAGAGTACATTACTATCATGGTCATCAACAACAAAACTCCAGGTGTGTGCGCTCAATTTCTGTTCGAGTGATAAATAACTCACCGCCTCTTCAGACCAAATCTTCGAGGAGATTGCAGAACGTGAGTGCTTATCGTTGGGCTTGAAAAGTATGTTTCTAACCGCTCATTGTGGGGTCTAGTTGTCTCTACGCCATTCGGTACGTTGTTGCTATTCACACTCGTCGCTGTGGCTAACGCCTCCCCTTTCTGCTAGACCGCAAAGTCGTCGATTGGATTTTCGAAGAGGCCGCGAAGGGCGACGACACCGCAAAAGTAGAGGCTGTACCGGCACCCGCAAAGCCTGACTCAAGGCGACCAAGCTCTTCAGCGCCACGGTCCGGCGGTGCTGGCGGCGGCATATACCAGCAGGCTGTTTCGCAAGCAGGCCAAAAGCGACCGGCTTCGGCGCGCTCCCCGTCACCAGGAAATCCCAGCAAGCAAAGGCGCACAGACCCGCCGACTGGTCCTCGGGCATTGCGCGAAGGGGCAACTCCCGGCAACCCACGATCGCTCCTCGAGCGTGTTGGTCCCGCGCCAAGAAACAACAACCACGAGATGCATCAGCAGCAACACATACCAAATGGAATGGACACCGGAGGGATGAACATGATGGGTTTCCCTCCTCACGGAATGGACTTGCAGTCGATGCAGATGCAGGAACTCCTTGTGAATCAGCTGGCGCTTATGCAGGGCATGGCCGCTGGGATGTTCGGGATGGCGAATGCGGGCGGAATGAACATGGATATGATGAACGCGCAACAGATGCAGCAGGGCCAAGGCATGAACAATATGGGCAATGGGCGCGGTGGCCGTGGAGGCAAAGGAGGTCGTGGAGGTGCCGGTGGAGGACGAGGACGTGGTGGCCATGTCAACAACCAAGCGAGTGCCGCACCACCCGTTGTAGCGCCAGTGCCGGTCCCTGCAGCGGCTCCACCGCCCGCGTATGCATTCCCAGAGCGACCTCAAAGCCCGACGCTCTGCAAATTCTCCACAAAATGCACCAACCCTCACTGTCGATTTGCGCATCCTTCGCCGGTCGCAACGCCGGAAAGTGGTATGGTCTTGAGTACAGAGCCATGCGAAAAGGGGCGCGAATGCAAGGACAAGGATTGCCCGAAGACCCATGTCAGCTCGTCTGTTTTGACCGCCCCTCGTACGCCGCTATGTTCAAACTTTTATCAGTCTACTGATTTCGTTCCAGCTCAACCTCCGCCAGCAGCTGCACCTGTTCCGCCTGCACACTACACCCCTCCTGCCCACCAAGGTGGCGTCGTCCCATGTCGATTCGGAGCGAAATGCACGCGCCCGGGATGTACGTTTGGACATCCAGGTGGTCCAAAAGGTGGTGCTGGAAAGGGTGGCCAGCCATGTAGGTTCGGCGCGGCTTGTACGAAAGCGACCTGCACCTTCCAGCATCCAGAAGGCCGTGCTGTGCTTCCCGGGACATTCCATCGTGGGTTAGGGACCGAGCCGAATGGCGCGAGCCCGCACAAGAGTGTCAAGTTCGGGGTCGCGGCTGGAGGAACGACGGATGATTTGAAGGAAAGGTTATTGAAGCTCGAGCAGGACAAGAAGAATGCGGAGAACGCGCTTGATAAGAAGAAGGCAGAGGTCGCTGCCTGAGCGTGTATACAAACGGACATTATGCATCACGAGAATGGCGAACAGCTGGATAAAGGAGTGTCAATTGTGTTGATGGTTTTGTTTTGTACCTTATATATCTATTGTTGCTACCGCTGCGTACTATACAACCATACCGTGTCCTGGATCCAGCGGCGAAGTGCTAGCTGGCCAGGTGCGGAAGGGGGTATCGAATAGACTGCCACGCGCCGCCGCCAATGTTCAGTAAAAAAGGCGGCGCGTGAAACCCCCATTCTGGAGTGATTATTCTAGTATAGCGAGCAAGCTCTGAGACCAGTTTTGCCTTGTAGATTTGAGGATGACACTTTGGCATATAGTTTACTGCCATTATTAATACTGGCAGGAGGCTGTCAGGAGCGTTAAGGGTGTCCTAATTCCACTCGCCTCAAGTCGCAGGGGCTCGATGCGGATTGGGGAAAGTCACTGTTATCAGACTGTTATTGCATGATGTCGATGTTTCCGAGCGTTGGGTCAAAGTTGAGATTCCGGGCGGCGCGCGAGCGGGGCACTACTACACCTTGTCGGACGGAACGCCAGCCGACGAGTACCAGCTAAGCAGCGGCATAGGCCGACAGACGTGACATTATTGCAAACAGGAGGAGCTGTGTTTGTTCTACGGGAGAATCACACGAAGGCCGCTATGTCCCGAAGATAGACCAGGATGTGCGTGTTAAGAATGGCAGAAAAGCAGAACTCATTGTAAATGCACTAGACGCACTTAAGGATACAAGGAAGAATAGACAAGTTAAGAGCCCCGACAGTTGCCCACCGAACATCCGGCCATCAAGAGGTGCCACTCGTTCGGTCTCTCGTTTCGCTGCGCTTCGCAACACCGCATGGGGGGGCTGATACGAATTTCATATAAGAACCAGAGCGCGCTGCAATCGACTTCGTTTTTGCTTTCCCTTGGCTCCCCATCGACGACACGTTTCTCTCAACTACCAACACCATATTCGTCTACCCGCGGGGTGGCCGTGGATATTGACAGGCTTAGAGCGCGTCATCGGAACGGCGGTGCCTTGCGCTGACGCACTAGTGCTCGCGTACAAACAGACGATCATCACTGACCTCTCCTGCCACCTACCACCTTACCCACAAATCACACGCCAAAAGTCGCCTTATCCTTCCTCCTTACCTACTCCCGTTTTCAAGCACGAATTTGAACACATAGAAAGGCTGGCGCGCCAACAATGCTCTCTAGTTTCCGAGACTTTGGCAGTTTCCTGCCAAGTGCGTTCCAGAAACCACCGCCGCCGTCCCCGCAAATAAACGTGAACGAGGACGCGGATGAGGATGCTGCTGCGAAAGAGGAAGCGGAAAGAGAGGGCGAAAGCAAGAAGAAGAAGCTCAACGAGGTGTGTCTCCATCCATTTCCCTCCAAACCCTAAACTCAAGAGATGGGGGCAGACGTTTATCGTGGTACGGCCGCCGCCAGCGATGAGCAACCACCCGTTGAATTTACAAGTACAACTTGTACCGCCAGGCGCGAAGGCGTCTGGGGTGACACCCCGGGCGTCGATGGATTCATCGATGGGCGACGCAGCCTCGTCCTCATCCGAAGGCGTCCCACTCTCGCGTACATCCTCAAACCGCTCGGACTACTCCTCCACCGCCTCGTTTTCGTCGTTTAGCAGCTCAGCCTCAGGCCGACGCACAATTATCCCTTTGTACAACCTTCAGGCGCACAATGTCCTCACGAACACGGTCGTGGACGCCGGCACCGACGCAAAGATCGCACGCTTTGGCAGACGGGGGATGGAGATGATGGAGCTCGTGCAGGTTGAACCAGTGGAAGTGTGGGCCGTCCGAGACGGCGCCGAACGCGTTGTAGACGTCACGCGTATTACCCAGGGTGGGCTGGCTGCGTCAACGTCTGGCACGAACAGTGCGTCCCCAAGTCGGCCGTCCACGCCAGCTACCACTCCAGGCTCGTCTTCATTGTCATTGCAATCCTCTGCTCCATCGCACTCGCATTCGCATGCTGCACCACCGCCTGAGCCACCGAAGAAACGGGAGAATCTGTTTGGAAGGATGTTCAAAAAGACGGCGAAACCGATGGATCCTGTGGTCACCCCGACGAAGGAAAACAAACGGGCGTCGATTCAGATTGGGGCCTTGAACCTTGGTGGAGGAGGTTCAGGCCCAGGCGCGGGATCGTCGAGACATTCGAAACGGCTCAGTATGTCAAGCAATTCACCATATCTAGATGTGCAGCAGCACGATACCAGCCAAGCGAAGAAGAGACTCTCGATGTCGTCGTCCACATCCATAGGTGCAGACGGTCAATCTCAGCTCGCAGGCCCAGCTGTCCCCCAAGCTGTGCTTTTACCTGGGACGTTGGGAATCCAACCTTTGTTGAACGTGTCTATCCCTCCTCCTGCATCTCCAGCACTCCTCGCTGCTCTGGTCTCGCTGTTTACGGCCACAGCGTACCCGCCGTCGTTCGCGCGGGGGAAAAACCCGTTCGTCGGGCGAGGACCAGCCATGTATGTTTGGACAGTGCGCAAATGGTACAAAGGGGAGGGAGGGAGCATGCTTGCGTCCATGCTCAATCCTAACGCGCGCACTGCCGCTGACGCCGTCGACCTACGCTTCGAGTGGCGCAAAGGCAAGCCCAAGCCAAAAGGCGGTCGGCGCCCAGGGACACGCCAGAGCAAACGGGAGAGCATGCGGAGCACACTATCGAGCGAAGATGAAGAGGATGCGGACCCAGAGGACTCGGAGACGCCGTGGACGTGTACGCTTCGGCTCAAGCCCACTGCCAAGGGCACAGGCAAAGGCGTCATCAAAGTCAAGGTCGGGACGCTCAGTCCAACGCCCCATCATCCCAAGGTTGTGGCTATGCTCAAGGTGCCGTATCCCTTACCCGACGTCCAAGTGGAGAGCATGAGAATTGCGCCGAGGAAGTTCGTTGATGGAGAGGAAGGTGTGAGAAGGGTTGTACATGAGGTCGAGGATGATGGTACACATGGGTTGGTCCTGACAGCAGAGGAAATCAAGGATATCGTCAGTTCCACTGGGCTCTGGTTAATTGTCCGAGAGGGCTTTGGGGGAGTAGGCAAAGTCAGCAGAAAGGGCGATGGGTGGAGGATTCGTGCGTAACCTATACACATAATACAAACGCCTGCGCTACGCGGTTTCTATCTCGCTCCTTTTTGCTCTCTCCTTATCTTTTTTACTTTAAATTATCTTATGGTATGTATATGATCTACCGTAGTCGACGAGGAATGGATTTCGTGTACAGTATATGCATGGAATCGAGCTGCTTTGCGCGATTCTGGTGTGCCGCGTAGAAGCAACGCAATTCATGCTAGAACTCTCCAGGGAGGTGCAACCAAAAAAGCTGCTTTCGAACAATCATTGAAGCAAAGCACGAGTCGAACCCTACGCCTCCGGGCGGTCGGCGCCGCGATCAATCAGGACTGTTCAACGTTGCGTTCAACGTTCAACTTCCGCTAGTCTTCTGCAAATTGGCCTGCAATTCATAATACTAAAATGTCTCAGATTTTCACAAAGTCTCTTCAACGTCGCGCCCATCTTTTGAGTAAAGATGTGGCGCAACTTGTGTGGCGCAATTGTGTGTCCAGAAAGGCCTGCCTAGCTCAATCGGATAGAGCGTCAGACTTTTAAGGCAATGCCATCTGAAGGCTGCGGGTTCGACCCCCGCGGTGGGCTACGTGTGTGTTTTGCCGTGACCTGGATCATTAGTTGTCTTGGTTTATACTGTAGACACCGTCTCGAATTTTACTCGGTTAAGTCCAATGCAAGTTTCTTTTGGGGTACACAGGATTTCTCTTCATGTTAGTTTGCGGATGAAGCTGAAGAGCAGCCACCAATAAATCATGTTCACATACTTATGTACTCGAGTCTAGCACAGCTGACGGTAGCACCATTGAAATACTCCCCAATCCAGCTTCGATTTGCTTCTTCTTTCCCACACGGAAATATTGAGCAACATTCGACCTGCGACTTCGAGGCTCTCAACGTCTTTTACAATACCATGTATTCAAATTTCACTCACACCGCTTAATACTTATACTACCACATCCAAGGTCGTCATGTGACCGTATACCAGGCGACAAGAACGGAAGATATTGCACTTGATCAAAGATCTCGTTCTGAGGGTTCCCGAGCCAGCCCAGGGTATTAGTACTGGTTACAATTCCCTCAGGAGCACAAAGCCCATCGCATCGATGGTGGCTGAAAGGTCTGTATCGGGCTGGTACGTTCTCGCTGAGTTCCAGTGGTTAGGCTGAGCTAGTTATCAAAGCAGCGTCACTTGTCCTCGATGAGACGACCTATGCGGGTCACATTCATAATCATGTTCCCGTAGTATCAGCGTGCTACGTTCCACCTGCATCTCGTCGTGCTGTGTCAAGACCCTGCGAATCTCCCCAAGTACTCACACCAGGCAGCATGCGATGAAAAATGAGAATCCGGTTCCATTGCCACGATCCAAGAAAGCGCGCTGGGGATGCACGACGGCATAACGACATATATGTATGTAAATAGTTAGTTAACGGAGGCAGTGAGTAAGAGATACTAAGAGGTTTATGAGTCAGAGTCTATGTATGATACGGTTTACGAAACAGACAAACAAGATGTATGGTGTATGGAGATAATGCAATGTGTTGTGTTTAGATGAGGGCATAAGAGAGACAAGACAATGAGAAGAAAAAAGAACCTGAGGAGCGCCAGAAGCCATACAACATAGTGCGGGTCTTGGGGGCGGGTATACCAGTATATCACCAGTACGTCGCCGGAGGGTATGTTGCGTAGAGCGGCTGGGCGTACGGCGTGTACTGCCCCGCAGACGAAGCGTCGCTCGAATTGGAGTTGGAGCGCGCATGGGCCGCGGCGCGGGGATGAATGCCTCGCCGGCGTTTCTTGAGCACGACGTGCGGCGGGTTGTGCGGCGGCGTGGTGACAGAAATCCAGCCGTCCTTGTCCTGTCGGACAGACGCACGCTTGAGTGTAGCGAGCAGGTTGTTCTTGCGCTGCAGCCGGTCGACTTCGAGCCAACTACTATCCGTAGGGCTCATTGCCGGGACGGGGACGGGGGGCAGCAACGGTCCGGCAGCCGGTTCCCAAGAAATGAAGCCTTGGTCGTCTTTGACGAAGCAACCCAAAGGCGCTGGTGGGACGTACGTCGGTGCAGACGTTTTGGCGTAGAAAAGCGGGTATTCTGAAAGCGAGGGAGGAGGGGTGGCTGGCGTTGGACTCGGGCTTGGAGAGGTCGCGCCCGACGACATGGAAAGTGTGTCTTCTTGTTCCGAGGCCTCGATATCGTCCATGAGGTCAAGCACTCCGCGCAGAGCCGGAGAGTCAACGTCGAGCTCGATGTCGCTGTCATTTGTGGAGGAAGAGGAGGACGAGTCGTCGCCGTCGGGCATGAGCCCAAGCGCGAGCTTCGAAGAGCCAAACGCCCAGGAGACGTGCTTGTAGTCCGTTCCGGGACTAGAACACGCCCACCCGCTTGCTGTCGTGGTCGTCATCCAATTGGTGGTCATAATGTGTATGTGGTCGTAAGAAACAAGTGTGTGTGCCGTCCACAATTAAGAGGAGGCAGTGACTCGTTGTTGAATTATAAGGTCGAGTGAAAGCAATGTGAGGCGTGTCGGAGTACGGCGGATTTTGAGGTTGTGGTACAAGACCAACCTTGCCTCTTACGTTACAAGGCCCGCGCGAGTCAACAAAGGTACATACAATCGGACCAAATGGACACGTTTGAATAATAATATCCCCGCGACCGTTTCTTCGCGTCGAATCCATTGTTCCTTTCAGCTCAACTTTGACGGGCGTCTTTGACATGGCGGCGAAAAGTCAAATTCGTTTCTCTGCACTAGGTATGACGCTCCGCTTCCGTTCGACGCGTTTGTCGATCGCGAAACGCGAGCCATGCACACCGATCATCGACCCCACAACCAAGTCCAACACTGCCAGCAGCCTTCGTACTTCCAATGAAACGCAAATTTGTCTTGAATATATCTTTGAGCAAGCCATCTGCGGCGCCATTGCTACTATTGTGCACCGGCACAGCGGCTATGACTTACTCTTCATTGTCCTGCACTTATTCTGCTCAAGTCTTCGTTCTTCTTCTTCTTCTCCGCCGTTTGCTTTGTCCAGCATTTAGCGTATGCTTCTCTCGGTCCGGCTCAAAGGACCGGACCCTTTGTGTGTTAATTGTAGGATGGAACAGCTTCCTGGCCCTTTCACTGTCATTGTGGCACTGCCTTTGGTAAACTCCTTGACAATAGACTCATTTGCAGCGGCTGGCACAACGCGTGCTTTCCAATTGTATCCAGGATAGCACGCCTCTGGTTGACTGCACCCAGTCAGCCTCAATTGACCGGCACTGCTGAGTACGACGTGTTCCTTTCACGCAAAGGTATCAGCAATGCCACACTTATCATCTCCGACACTTCTTCTCGTTCACAGCGTCACTTCATCTACGCCCGAGGCTCACTTCACCTTTCTCATCTATCTTTACTACTGAACCTATCACGTCGAAAAGCTCAAAGCCATCCCGACCCCTGCGTCTGAATATTTATTCAACTTCTCAGACGTAGCATCCGGGATATCAATCAAAGCGTCTGATACTCGAGGCAAATTCGTGCAAAACGACTGCCAGTGGCACCACCAAGATGTGTACGGTATGATACGGTATACAGCCGCCGCAGAAATCTGCATATCTCAAAGCTAACTCTTCATGACGATCTCAACATTGCAATTGAATGATTTAGTCCCGTCCGTGTTGTGGTAGGTCGACTCATGTCGTCGAAGACGCAGCCTGCACTCGATTCGGTGCTGACAATGTGATGCCAGGCCTGAGGGCTAATCCAAAGTGCGAATAAGCCATCAATCCGTGCGCGGGAGCCTTCTCGCGTTGAATTCCGCGTTCAGATTGACAAGACAGCAATCCCAGTGATATACTCATCCAGAGACTCATTATTTGTGCGTCGAGACGCTGAGTACTAGGAATTCACAGCGCTGGCTTATCCGATGCTCAAACTGAACATACAATACAACGAAGATGAAGTTCATGTATACTTGATCCTGAGCTGTCGGCGCCACCTCTGACTTCAGCCGTCGTAGGATTCTACTACTACTAGCGCCCGCGGAACCCACTTGACTTTCGAATGGTCGACGTAGGTAGGCGCGCGCTTTGATGGACCCGGGAATTCGTGCTGCACACCATTTGGGCAAATAAATTAAGTATAATCGTGAGTTTTGCTCATTTGCTTCCGCGGAATGCGCTACACGACTCTTCATCCGAATTAGGCACATTTCTTTCCTTTTTTGTAAAATGGGGATATCTGCCCAGCACGTGTGTCGCGTGTCGCGTCGCGTTTCTGAGGTAGAGAGTTTGCACAATGATTTGTAATGGGGGTAGCATTCATTGATGAGAAAGCCGCAAACAGCTTGAAGGACAACTTCAGAACAGGACGATCGCCTGTCTGCCTGCGTTAAGCACGGGCCGAGTCATACCTGTTGAATGAAAGGATTTGGGGCGTACGAAACCCACGCACATGAAAATGAGATGGAGGGAAGTATGGAATGGGCAGGCAAAGTTCATTCAACCGGGTGCGTGCGTGCGTGCTGCACGTACGGACTCCGGAGCATATCGCTGGGGTAGGGCTTGGGTAGAGGCCATTGACCGGGTCGGCGACTTGCATGAGGCGTCGAGTTCATAGCCCCTCGCACCTAGGGCTCGGCGTGTATACAGAACAGAAATCTACCTATAGTTCATATTGTTTTTACATGGGGAGAGCGCATAACTAGGTAAAAATGGAGATGATATGGTAACACAGATAAATAAGAACCTATGCCACAAGAAAGAGACCGCATAAGCTTGTTGTACAACCAGAAGAAAGTAGGACGCTGTAAAATAGATGGAATAATTAAAGCTTATATATAACAATGGAAGAGCGGATGCGACGAAAGGGACGGGCAGCGATCAACAGAGGGTGATATCCCATTCCCCGCCGTCTGCGTTATCAGAGCTACGGAGAGCGATGCGTGCACGGCGGCGCTCGTTAGAGGGAGCGTGAGAGTAGGCCGGAGATCCATCGGGGGTACTGGAGCTGGTGTCTGCAAAGGAGTAATCGTCGAGGGGATCCATGCCCATTCCCATGCCGAGCCCCAGGCCCATGAACGGGTCCTGGGTACTATCGTAAAGTGAGGCCATTCCCGGCTCTGTTGGGGAAGAAGACACGAGCGAGGTCGTTGGCGTTGTAGCGGGGCTAGTGTTGTATATCTTGACAGACCAACCAGAGGTGGAAGAGGCGACGGTGAATTCTACTTCAAGAGCAGGGTCCGACGATTGGCCGAGATGACTGGATGATGAAGAGGAGGCTGATGCCAGTGATGGAACAGCGCTCAGCAAAGCTGTGAGAGCATCTCGGGCTGTGGATGGGAACGAGCTGTGATGCGTGGGTTCCGGTGAAGATTCGTGAGAAGCCGTGGAAGGCGGCGTTGGAGGATGGCTGACAACCGGCGGTGGGCTCGGTGCCATGGAAGACTTCTTGCTCTTTGCACGAAGTCTCGCATTTTCCTCTTCGAGTGCGGCTACGCGTCTGATAAGGTTAGGAACGCGTGAATGGACAAATCAAAGGTGAACACACACATTTCCATCGCTTCGAACTCTTCGCGTTTCCTTTGCCTGGAGAGGAATG